TTCTGGCTTTTTTCTTTTTGCTTATGTGGTGCTGAGGAATCAAACCCAGGGCCTCAGGCATGCAAGGCAAGCGCTCTACCACTGAGCCACCTTCCCAGCCACCTTCCCAGTCCTAACCGCAGTTTTTCAAATAACTTTATTCTTCCAAGTAGGAACATGTAAAACTCCCACAAAACTCCCAACACAAACAAAAACCTTGCAACTTCTAAAGAAACAGCATTAATGGTAACAAAAAGAATCACTGAACAGATATGACTAGACCATTGTTGGAATCTTAATTGTTCTAACCCTAAGAACTTTCAATTACAGAGGTTTTTCTTGATCCAAATTCTATCTCCTCAAATTCAGCCTTTAAAAATGTGTTTAAATGTAAAATAAGGGGCTGGCTTAGTGATACAGTGCTTGCCTACAATGCATGAAGACCTGAGTCCAATTCCTCCAGTACCACATAAAAAAATAAAAGTAAGTTTTTTTAAAAATGAAAAGCAAAAACATGTATTCAGTGTTATAAATGACAAAAAAGGGAAGAGAAATGTATCAATTTATACATACCTGCATGCATTTTAGCAATTCCAAAAAGGCATCAAACCCTTCTAGGAACTTCTGCCTCAGCTCATCTGACCACTCAGTTGGTTTGCTAATCAACACATACCTGAGTAGAAAGAGAGCAGGAACAATGAACATATACACTGACTTCTTTTGTGCATGACATACTGTAAGTATGATAATTAAACAAAAACTTACTTGAGGTCTAAAATAAGGCTCTGCACTCTCCTAAACTTGAAGGCTTGTAAAGCAGTATATCGTTCAAACTGAAATCTGCCCTGGGCATCTCGTTGTTTCAAATGATCCATGAAAGTCTTAATGATAATGGCCATCAGGTTTTCTTCTGTGATAAGCATTCGAGCCTAAAACAAAGTGTATCAGAGTGCATGGTAATAAAACATTTCCTACAAAGCTAAAAAAATCCAGAAACACTGTTTAGCACAGTGGTTTAAACTTTTTTCCAATATAAATGTATAAAGTCACAGATGAACGACTGGGTATTTTTAAGTAACAATTACTCCAATTACCCTATGTATGAAGCAACAATGACATCAGATGTGAGAAAGATGCCACAAAATGAGGAACAGAAGACTCCTTATTCAAAGAAAATTCAGGGTGTGGGATGTAAACCAGGCAGCAACATTTCCTTAACAGACATTTGGATGCCTATAATGATATGGTAGTTATTCTAGAATATATAGAAGTTTGTTACTGATTTTCTAGAATCCAGCAGGAAATTGTATTTCCGCTTAAACTCCCTAGTTCAGATTTATTTTTGCCTTCGTTTCTATTTTTGCTTTTGTTTCCATGAATATATCTATGTCTTTCTGAATACATATACATAAATGATGCCAAATGTAACAGGTAAAAAAGCTGACTAGCTTTGAGGTCTACCACCCAAATATAAACCCTTTTAGCAGTTTCTTTTCTTTCCTTCCTTCCTTCTTTCTTTCTTTTTTCTCTCTCTCTTTCTTTCTATCAATTGTGGGGCTTGAACTTTGGCCTGGACGTTGTCTCTCAGCTCTTCACCTCAAAGTGCTCTACCTGTTGAGCAAAAAAGCCACGTCCGGTTTTCTAGCATTGAACTGAGATAAGAGTCTCAGGGATTTTCCTGCCCTGGCTGGCTCTGAACTGCAATCCTCAGATCTCAGCCTCCTGAGTAGCTGGGATTGTAGGTGTGAGTCACCAGCACCCGACCACCCATTTCTTATACATATCTTCCACGGGTGATATACATACAGTATTAGGATCTGCACCAAATAAATACACACATATAATACAGATAAAGTGCATAATAAATATGTAAGAATGGACATACATAATTTTATCTTCTTCCCCCTAAGGATAGTATATTATAAATACTGTACTTTTTCATTAGATATATTTTAAAGATTGTCACACAGCAGTTCATCTATCTTTCCCTCAGTCTTTGTAATTATTACTAGGTATACTTATTCATATCATACTTTATTCAGTAAGATGTTTATTAGATGCATTTTAGCTAACTCAGGCAAAAAAATCAAAGAGACTCCATCTCTAATTAGCCAGCAAACAGCCAGACTATAGGTAAGGGCTCAAGTAGTAGAGCATCAGACTTGAACAAAAAAGTACAAGGCTCACTGGGCACTAGGGGCTCACACCTGTAATCCTAGCTACTCAGGATGCTGAGATCTGAGGATCATGGTTCAAAGCCAGCCCAGGCATAAAGCCAGCCCAGGCATAAAAGTCCCCGTGATACTCTTATTTCCAGTCAACCACTCAAAAACTGGAAGTGGTGCTATGGCTCAAGTGGTAGAGTACTAGTCTTGAGCACAGTGGATCAAAGACACCAGCCAGGCCCTGAGTTTAAGCCCTATAACTGACAAAAACTAAATAAATAAAAATACAAAGCTCTGAGTTTAAGCCATACACATACACACAAGGGAGGGAAGGAGGGAGAAGAAGAGAAGGAGAGGAGAGGAAGAGAGGGAGAGAGGGAGGGAAGGAAGGAAGGAGGGAAGGAGGGAGGGAGAAGGAGAGAGCGAGAGAGAGACAGATACAGAGAAACTATACTAGAAAAGCTCCAGAATTTCCAGAACTGATTAAAAAAAACAAAAAACCCCAGCATAGATACTTAATAATACAAACAAACTTCAAGGATAATTACAAAGAAAGCCAACCTAAGGCTGAAGGCATGTGGTACAAGTGGTAGAGTACCTGCCTACAAGTTCAAAATCCTGAAGCCCAGAAAAAAGAAAAGAAAAAAAGACCATTGTATATGATTTTTTTTAAATATTGGGGGCTGCGAAGGGGGCTCAGTGGTAGAGTGCTTGCCTTGATGCATGAGGCTCTGGGTTTGATTCCTCAGTGACACATAAGCAGAAAAAGCTGGAAGTAGCACTGTGGCTCAAGTGGTAAAGCACTAGCCTTGAGCTGAAGAACTAAGGGACAGCGCCCGGGCCCAGAGTTCAGGCCCCATGACTGAAAAACAAACCAACAAACAAATTAATAGTCCTGGGTTTGGCTCCTCAGTACCACATACATAGAAAAGGTTGAACGTGGCTCTGTGGCTCAAGTGGTAGAGTGCTAGCCTTGAGCCAAAGAAGCTCACGGACAGTGCCCAGGCCCTGAGTTCAAGCCCCAGGACTGATTAACAGGAAGAGAGAGAGAAAGAGAGAAAGAGAGAGAGAGAGAGAGAAGCCAAAGGAATAAAAGAGCAAAACAACAAAAAGTGAGCAGGAACAGAGCTACAGGGATCAACAATGTTATTATTAGATACAGATTTTAAAATAACTGTAATTTGCATTTTTGGGAAAATTATGAAAAGGTGATGAGTTTCAATAGAAACTTGGAATGTACTGAAGAATGAACTTTGGCTGAGTAGTTCAGGGAAGATGGAAGAGATGTTACTAAGCACCACTTTGGGGACAGTATGTAAAAGGATCATAAAACTCTAGAAGATGGGAAGAACGATGGCAGCTGGCAAGGGCCTTTAGGGACCCACATGGTAGCAAGTTTCCCCAGGTTTTCTGTTACTCGAGGATATAAATGTGGATTTGGAGCTGAAGGTCTAATTAACTAGAAAATCAATGGGTCCATATGGAAAAGCAAAGCAAAATGCCCATCAAGCAATAAAGCCTATTTTTTGCAGCTAAAGGAGAGGGATAACTAAAAAAAAAAAAAAAAAACTGAAAAAAAAGACCAAAAAAACCCCAAAAACCCTTTCAACCACCACAGCAAAAGACTGATCCCCATTTTCATGTGCAGCAATTTAAAAGCTGAATGGGAGCCTGGGCTCCATCCTCCAAGAAAGCACATGGGAGCCTGCTTGTGGTAAGTAAAAGATGCATGCCATAATCTAAGGCAGTTCTTTCCAAGGTCCACAGGCTAGCAGCCGACAACTGCTTCCTTTCTGTTGTGACAAGAAATTTGGTCAAGGGAAATGAGCCATTTTTCAGTTTATTCAGCTGACATTTCTTGTTCACAGCAACATTTTTGCCTGAGAGTAGTATATTGATGTTGCTTTACATCCTAGTACATGTAGTTTATTCTGTCATAAACTGATCTAGGCCCTGGATTCATGTGCCAGTCCAGCACCAAAAAAGAGTAGACAATGATCATATGGTATCTGTAACACAGTTCCACTATGTATAAAACTCTTTCCCACTATGGTTGGTTGAACAAGAATCATATGTTTTGTCCACCATTTTTTTTTGGGGGGGAGGAGAAAATTCCAGTCCTGGGTGCTGTCCCTGAGCTTTCTTTGTTCAAGACTAGTATTTTACCACTTGAGGCATAGCTCCACTTCCAGAGTTATGCTAGTTTATTAATCTCTCACATTTTGTCTGTGATGGCTTGAACCGTGATCTTCAGATCTCAGAATCCTAAGTAGCTGGGATTATAGTTGTTAGACACCAGTACCTGGAACACCAATGTATTTTTAAAGCCTAAAACTACGCCTAATAGGTACTCGACAAATTTGTTAAATGAAGTATAATTTTTAATTACTTCTATGGTAAAACATAATGATGACTCGGGAAGCAGCTACTAAAGTTTAATAGAAGACCAGCCAATCATTGTGATTCAATCACTTTAGCTACCCCTTGTATTTAATGTCAAGGATACTGTTAAAAATAAACCAGCTAAATATTACCTCATCAATTCAAAACCTCTAGGGACCAAGGTGACCAACAACAGGTAAATGGACAAAGAAAATATAATAAATGTATATGATGAAATATTAAGAGACATAAGGAAAACATAAAATTATGTAATTTGCAGGATAATGGATGGAATTTGAGAACATCATGTTGAGTGAGATAAACCAAGATAAAAAAAAAAGCCAAATATTACATATTTTTGCTCACAAGTGGAAGCTAGAACTAAAAGACACACACATACACACACACACACACATATATAAATATATATACAAAGAACATGATTTTAACTGTAAGACTATGTAGAAGGTTGAGGGAGACAGAAAAAGACTGAGGGTGAATAATCTCAAAATACATTATAATTATGTATGAAGACAGTACAAAGAACCTCAATGAAACCTGTTGATCAATAAGGGGCTCAGGGAAAAAGGAAGAGATAGCAATAAAAAGGGTTGTTTTGAAAAAAATATAACACGTGCATATCTGAATTACACAGAGAAACCCCTTAGTGCAATTAATGCACATTTTTTTTTTAAAGGGCAGGAAAGTAAAATAAGTTGGCCAAAGTGGTGTTGGAGAGGGCTAAGAGGGTGGATGAGGATGAATATGGTCCATGTAGATTTCATTGAATGTATGAAAATAGAACAGTGACTGAAGAAGGGAGAAAGGAGTGATAGAGGGGTGAGGATGATGGAGATGCATTATTCACATGTGTGGAAATGTCACAATGAAACCCCACTTGTACAACTAATGTATGCTAATAAAAAAATAAAGTTTTAGAAAGTATTATGAGAAAATAAGGATTTAAAAAGTTAAATAAAATTTACATGAAGTTCTCCCAATAATTTCTTTGATATTCAAGGATATGTTCTAGTGTGGTTGAAGATGTATGATGTTTGATGGGCTATTAGTAAATTATTACCTTTCTCAGGAAGACACAGCTCTTCTCTATTACTTTAAAGCTTTACTTCTGTTAATGGAAGACAAAGTTCCAGTCTTTCAGTACTTACAAGAGAAGGAACTGTGAATATCTGAACCGAGAGATCTGCGACTGAAAACTCTCTGTCGTGGTCATCTGTCACATAATCACTCTGCAAACGCTCATAGTTCTATTAAGAAGGCAAAAACAAGGCAAGGAGTGCCAGCTATCAGTTACAAAGGAAAGGCAATCACTACTCACCAGGGTAGGTGCGGTGAAGAACTGGACAGACAGAGCAGTCACCGACACTGCTCGCTCGTGATCATCCTCCATAAAATCCCTCTGCAAATGCTGGTAATTCTAAACAACAAGGGGGAAATTCACCTCTAATCCACATCAACCAAATGTTTAAGGACTATCATGAAAAGAAAGTGCTGCAGAATGTTACAGAGTGACACAGCGATGAGCAGGATATCTACTAATTAAATCCTGTACAAATCTTCAATCACTGTGGAATCCTGTGTAAATATTAAATCTAATGGGGCGTAACAGCAGTTTAGCAGTCTAAATAGTGAATAAACAGCTACTAAAATCCTGGGATGTCATGTACTCTGTGAGCAACCCCCAACAAAATCACACTGTCCACCATGAAGCCAGACTCCCATCACTTCTAGATGCACATCAGGATCACCTAATGACTCCTGCAAAGTATGCATGTTTGGACCCCACTCTTGGTGAAGCTTCAGGACACTTTGAGAATAGAACACAACAGGTATTTTGATAAAGCTCTCCAAATGATTCTTACATGCTTCTTTGGTTAAGAACTCCTAATTCAAAGCATACAAAGAATAAGTAATTAGCTTAATCATATGCCGTTTAAAAGGAGAACTTAAGTCAACCACCAGGAGTCCTTGATCCCTAATCATATCCAATAAACATGTTGTTTCAACTATGATTGCTATTTACTCAAATGAATTTTACTTAACAGAATCAATGTTATTGATTCATAATGTCATAGGTTTAATTATTTATCAAGTCCTATAATAAACCCTGCACAGATAGATATTTATTTATGACCTTATGGGAAGTGACAAACAAGTTTTGCTTCTACAACTTTATTTTATCAATAACAGATACAAAGATTATTTCTGAAATTTCATGGAATTTAAAATCAAGGTACTGACATATTAGAAGCTAACAGTCTGAAGCCTAGGTATGACCACAGGTTATAGGTATTTCATATATAACTTCTATTGTTAATCTTCAAAACTGAGAAAACACTTACTTTTGCAAATCGAACAGCAAATAGTTTCTTGTATTTCAAATCCATAAGGAGGCTGCTCATGAACAACTGATGATACACACTCCTGGCACCTTTAGGAAGATCAGAATATTAGATCATTGGCTGGTACTCTACCACACAAGCCATGCCTCCAACCCTTTTTTTTTATTGTGAAAATACTGTACAGAGGGGTTACAATTACATGGGCAAATAATGAGTACATTTTGTATCAAGCATTGTAGCCTCCTCCTTTGTTTCCCCTTCCCATCCCTTCCCATTCTCCCCCTCAGCCCCCACCCAATCCTCCTCCCCCATCCTCCAACCCTTTAAAGGGTTGGTTCTTTCTTTTTTTCTTTTTTTCTCTTTGCAATTTTCTGAACCTACTCCTCAGCCTGAAATGCTAATTTAAAAAGGAACAAATATATTTATTAAATACCTTCCCAGATGAGAAACTATTTTATACCCTAACTCTATACCTTAAGAGTAGTTATGAGATTCACCTTTCCATAATTTGGAGTCACTAAGCATCAGTCTATCCACCAGAGAAGAGTTTTCACCATCAGGTCCTTCTTGTAATCCAACTTGACATAAAATCCGGCGGAGACCATCTTTAAATAAAATATTCAGTAATAATAAGAGAAATTTCAAATACTAAAATTACATTTTATTGTATGTTTAATTGGACTCGAGGAGTTTTACATGTCTTAATGAAGGTAAAATTCATTTAGAAGAAGTGGACATATAAACTATTTTCAGAAAATAGGCAAAAATTCCAATTTCAACAATATGTGTAAGTTTTTTTTTTTTTTTTGGTCGGTCATGGGGCTTGAATTCTGGGCTTGGGCGCTGTCCCTCAGCTCTTCAGCTCTAGGCGAGCACTCTACCACTTGAGCCATAGCACCACTTCCAGTTTTTCTAGTGGTTTACTGGAGATAAAAGTCTCACAGAGTTTCCTGCCTGGGCTGGCTTTGAACTGTGATCCTCAGATCTCAGCCTCCTGAGGAGCTAGGATTACAGGCATGAGCCACCAGCATCCGACTTATGTCCAACTCTTATTCCCACCCTTTGACAACTCTTATTTGTAAAATGTCTATTAGAAAGGCAATGACCTTTTATGCTTTAATAAACTGAATTCAAGGAAAAATCTACCAAAACACTATTGTTCTTTTAGCAATTGAAGGGTAAAATTGTTGTATACTCCATATTTTAAGAAAAGTAAAATATAAAATTATGCTAATATTTTAAAAATGCATGATCTCTGTATTTAATATATGCCAGAATATTTTATTAATGTTAAACAGAATGTTTTTTGTTCACATAAAAAAATTTAGTGTGGAGGGCTGGGAAGGTGGCTCAGTGGTAGAGCGCTTGCCTTGCATGCTCAAGGCCCTGGGTTCGATTCCTCAGCACCACATAAGAAAAAAGAAAAAAGCTGGAAGTGGCGCTGTGGCTCAAGTGGTAGAACGCTAGCCTTGAGCTGAAGAGCTGAGGGACAGCGCCCAGGCCCAGAGTCCAGGCCCCACAACCAGACCCAAAAAAAAAAAAAAATTTAGTGTGGATGTGCCACATGAGAGGTGTTGGAAGACAACTTTTTTCATCTTCTAAGCTTTCTAAGGCTCTTCAAACATAAGAATAAACATTAAAATAGCCAAAACTTTTAGCATTGCTTTATCCTATACTTTATCATTTAAATAACTGGTTTTTACAAAATAAAAAATGAAACTTTAATAAAAATCTGTCATGTAAAGGACTAAAGACTAACCATTACATAGTATTAAAATGTTCTTAAGAAATAGCATGATGGCCTGGTGAAAGTAGCTCACTCCTGTAATCCTAGCTACTCAGGAGGCTACTCAGGCTGAAATCTGAGGACCTTAGTTCAAAGCCATCCTGGATAGAAAAGTCTGTGAGACTTTCATTTCCAATTAATCATGTATAAGCTGGAAGTGGTGCTGTGGGCAAGTGGTAGAATGCCAGCCTTGAGTAGAAGCTCAAAGATAGCACCCAGGCCAAGTGTTCAGGTCCCAGGGCTGGCCAAAAAAAAACCCACAAAAAAGTACCAACATTAGTGCACTATAATTTAAATTCATCATCATTAGGTTTTAATTCAAGAGAATTATCCAATTTACTTAGCTGGATAATGAAGGTAATGCGTAAAGAGTTCCATAGAATGCTCCATTAGGAAAAAAAGGTTCTTTGGTCAATCATTGAGATTTATACTGCATTAACATATAAAGTTGTTTATAGTAGTTTAATTAAATGCTTCCTACATTATGTGAACAGAGAGTTCTTTGTGTGAATATGTCAAAAACCCTGTGGAACAAATTCAGGTAAACACAAGTGTTTCATTCTTATAGTCTATGAATAAAAATATTGAGTATTTTTAATATTAAGATATGAAATAAAAGAAATTATCCTATTTGACAATTTTTCCAAAAACAGTTTTGCAAGGTTGTACGATAGATCATTTTTTGATAATCAAATACCACAAGCTATTATAAACCTACCTGAATATCCAATAATATTTCCAAGCCAAGACAGAACTTTCAAACCAAAATTCTGATGTGCAACAAGAGACGAATGCATAACTTGGACTTTGAGTGGCTTTGTCTGTCTACTGGTATTTCTCTTAAAAAGAAATGGCAAGATAAAAAAACTTAAAAAGGCTATTTTATTAGCAGAAACAAGTTAATGTTTTATTTATTATAAACACACCAGCAACATAGGGGAATTTCCAGTGTATGTGTAATAAAAGTACCACTCTAAAAGTTTGCCTTACTTGGCTCAACCATTATTTTCTAGAAGGAATCTTAGGTCTCATATACAATGATAAGGCATACTTCTGAATCACCTGAAACTTTGCTTGTGTATTTGAAAGCCTCTCATACCAACTTACAAATGGTTTAGATGTTCAGGCTTGCTTTCTATCTTTTTCTTTTTTCTTTTTGGTGGCTGTGGGACTTTAAAATCAAGGCCTAGGAACTGTGTCTGAACCTCTTTGTGTTCAAGGCTAGTAGTGCTCTACCACTTGAGCCACAGCACCACTTCTGCTTTTTGAGTGGTTAATTGGAAATAAGAGTCTCATGGGGACTTTTCTGCCCAGGCTGGCTTCAAACCATAATTCTCAGATCTCCGCCTCCTGAGTAGCGAGAATTACAGATATGAGACATTAGCACCCAGCTAATATACAATTTTATTGTTATTATCAAAGTGTTGTATAGAGGGGTTACCATTTCATATAAATTAATTTTTTTTTGTCAGTCATAAGGCTTCTGGGCCTGGGCGCTTTCCCTGCGCTCTTCAGCTCAAGGCCAGCGCTCTACCACTTGAGCCACAGCACTACTTCTGATTTTCTAGTGGTTTATTGGAGATAAGAGTCCTCACAGAGTTTCCTGCCCGGGCTGGCTTTGAACCGTGATCCACAGATCTTAGCCTCCTGAGTTGTTAGGATTACAGGCATGAGCCATTAGTACCCAGCTCATATAAATTATTTTTTTGTGTTTTGTTTTTGGTTAGTTGTGGGGCTTGAACTCTGGGCCTGAGCGCTGTCCCTGAGCTCTTCAGCTCCAGTCTAGTGCTCCTCCACTTGAGCCACAGTGCTGATTCTGGACTTTTCTGTTATTTGGTGCTGAGGAATCAAACCCAGGGCTTCATGCATGTAAGGCAAGCATTCTACCACTGAGCCAACCTTCCCAGCCACTAAATTAATATATTAACAGGTATACCCTTATTTAACTAATTTCACTGTACAGATGTAATTATGTTATCATTACTGCCATCAATATTTGGGGTTACGGCTCTTAGTCTATATTTAAGGGTGATATACTTGTAGCACTGTCTCATCTTCAATGTTGCAAAATACTCTACATATATATTGCATTTTGCCTCTATATACTTCTGTCAACAGACACTTGGATTACATGAATTTCTTTGAGACTCTGCTTTTCAACTCTTGAAAATCTTTCATATGGTAATTGTGGTTTAAAATTTTTTAGGAATTTCCATATTGTTACCTATAATGGCTAACACCATTTTATATTTATATAGTTATATACAAATGTTACTTATATTAGCATAATATAAAAATATACACATTATATAAGCACAGTTATGTATTATATATTATTTTTACATAACATAAATGTGTTTATACAAATATGTTTATATAAATATATATGTTTATATAAATAAATATGTTTATATAAATATGTATAAATATTACATTTTTATATTTCCATTTTATTTTACTACCTGGGGCTCTTGTCATAGCTAAGAAGTAAACCCTTTTGAAGTCATCTACATTTCTGCACAGGAAGAACTTTTTGTAGACTCTATTCTATATCACTAACATGTTTATTCATTCCTAAACGAACACTACCAAGCATTATAAATACAAGGGTATTTTTTAAAAATTGAAGATACTATTGAAGAATATGAAGTAACAAATGCAAAAGAAAAAACATAACAATCATTAAAACAGTATTGCCTTGGGGCTGGGAAGGTGGCTCAGTGGTAGAGTGCTTGCCTTGCATGCATGAGGCCCTGGGTTTGATTCCTCAGCACCACATAAGCAGAAATAGCCGGAAGTGGCGCCGTGGCTCAAGTGGTAAAGCGCTAGCCTTGAGCTGAAGAGCTAGGACAGCGCCCAGGCCCACAATTCAGGCCCACGACCGGACCCCAAAAAAAAAAACAAAAAACAAAACAAAAAAACAGTATTGCCTTTAAATCTCACATTCTCATTTTTCTGTAAATAGCAGCCTTGAATTCTTACCAGTCCCACTCAGGGATACCTTTGAACATCAGAAGTAGAGTAATTCAAAGTTCAGTATCTTAGGAAAACTTCCTTTTGGGGGAACCGTAGTGGGGTTTAGACTCAAAGCCTTTTGCTTTGCTAGTCGTCATCTACTGCTAAGCACCCCAACCTTTTTTTACACTGGTAGTTTTTAATAGACAGTCTAGCTTTTCTTCTATTTTATGCTTCTTGCCATAACTGTGATGACAGGCATGTACCACCGTACTCAGCTATTAGATGAAAAAGGGTTTCATAAGCTTTTTGTACAAGCTGATTTCTGACTGCCATCTTTTTGCTATCAGCCTCTTGAGTAACTGGAGTTACAGGGGTTAGCCACCACTTTGGGTTCTTAAGAATACTTAATTTTGGGGGGAGGGAAGGGATAGTGAGACAACAACAAGGGAAGGGGTAACAATCATCTACAAGAAATGCACTCATTGTCTTACTCATGTAACTGTAACCCTCTCTACAGCAACTTTACAATACAATAAAATTAAAAAAATTAATTCTAGCTATATAAGAGGCTGAGATCTGAGGATTGAGGTTTGAAGCCAGTCTGAGTAGGAAAGTCTGAGACTGTTATCTGTAACAAACTACTAAAATCCAGTAAGTGGAGCTGTAGCAATACATACAATGTCAAAAGATATTTAATAAGTAACATGCAAAAAAAAAAAAAAAGGTAAACTAGTTTAGTTTTCTTTTCTTTTCTTTTTTTTTTGGGTCCAGTCGTGGGGCCTGAACTCTGGACCTGGGTGCTGACCCTTAGCTCTTCAGCTCAAAGCTAGCGCTCTGCCACTTGAGCCACAGCGCCACTTCCGGCTTTTTTCTTTTTGCATATGTGGTGCTGAGGAATCGAACCCAGGGCCTCATGCATGCAAGGCAAGCGCTCTACCACTGAGCCACCTTCCCAGCCCCCACTAGTTTAGTTTTCTGTAGGGAATTAAGAAGAAACAACCCAGGGGGAAAAACAAGGTACAGTGTGGACACACATGTCAATTTTTCTTTTTACCTGAATATATTAATGTATTTGCCTGTATATTTAACTATATTTATAATATGTAAAATTATTTTTTAAAAGAATAAGGATATAAAATGTAGTGACATGGAACAGATAAAAAAATGTTTTAGCTGGGTAACAGTAACCCATGCCTGTAATTCTAGGTACTCAGGAGGCTAAGATATGAGGATCATGAGTAAAAGCCAGCCAGAACAGAAAGTCCATGAGACTTTTACCTCCAATAAACCACCAGAAAAAAAGAAGTGGCACTGTGGCTCAAGTGGCAGAGAGCTAGCCTTGAGCAAAAGGAGCTAAAGGACAGTGCTGAGTTCAAGCCCCATGACCAACAAAAAAAGAAGAAAACAATGCAATAAATGCTATCAGGACATGCAGTGCATTTTGCCATAATTTAACAAGAAACATCTTGCCTGTAATTCTCATCTTGACACTAGAGGCCAATTTAATTCCTAAAAGGTAGTGTGAAATCTTATTAACAAAAAGCAAAGCATCTTTTCAGACTCTTCTGATGACCAAATAAGAAGATAGAAAAGATGTTAAATATTCATTTTTCTATTATCTTTTTTTTTGCCAGTCCTGGGGCTTGAACTCAGGGTCTGGGCACTGTCCTTGAGCTTCTTTTGCTCAAGATTAGCACTCTACCACTTGAGCCACAATGCCACTTCTGGCTTTTTCTGCCACACCAGGCTTCATGCATGGTAAGCAAGCACTCTACCACTAAGCCACATTCCCAGTCCTATCAATCTTATCTGAAGAAATTAAAATAATGGAATATATATCATCTTTAAACATAGTTTTCAGTTGATATTAGTTCTATATTCATTAAGGCATAAAAATACTTCATAAATGCTAAAATATGTAGCTTATTTTAAGCTAATAAAATATAGACATAATTTAAACTACTTACCACAATGACTGATTTTGCTTGTTCACAATACTGAAAGTCTCCATATCGAACAGACCTACGTCCCTGTAAAGATATTCAAATATTCTATTTAATATTGATAAACATTTACATCAATAAGTTTGAAATTTGAAAACATAACTTCAATCAACTTTTTTTTTTTTTTTGGGTCCGGTCGTGGGGCCTGAACTCTGGGCCTGGGAGCTGTCCCTCAGCTCTTCAGCTCAAGGCTAGCACTCTACCACTTGAGCCACAGCGCCACTTCTGGCTTTTTTTCTTTTTGCTTATGTGGTGCTGAGGAATCGAACCCAGGGCATCATGCATGCAAGGCAAGCACTCTACTACTGAGCCACCTCCCCAGCCCCTTCAGTCAACTTTTTTATCTTCTATCCTGCAACAACATTTCACTAACATGGCTCAGGCCGACCTTGAACTTAGGAGCCTCCAGCCTTAGTGTCCCAAGTCTGGGATTAAAAGTTTGGGCCACCACACCAAGCTCTAATCAATTTTTGGTATGTAGCACATTCACCCTACCCATCAAGGAACAATAAAGTTTTCTTTCAAAGCTATCCTAAACTTTTAAAGCCATTACTAAGTATAATTCTTTGAACAATATGACATTTATTTCAGTAGGCTTCAGTAATTTCTCTTTTTATATATGACTGTTTTTTATCACTGTAAGAATAGGACAACTATGTATTTCTTTTTAAATTTTCTATCTGGCTGTAGCTTATAGCTAATATTCAAATGAAATAAAAACAAATAACCTAGTAAATATTTAAGTAAATTTACTGGGGAAACATTTTTAATGTGCCAGACACTGGTGGCTCATGCCTATAATCCTAACTACTCAGGAGGCTGAGATCTAAGGATCACAGTTCAAAGCCAGCCCTGGCAGGAAAGTCCGAGAGACTTTTTTTTTTTGTCAGTCATGGGGCTTGAACTCTGGGCCTGGGCACTGTCCCTCAGCTCTTCAGCTCAAGGTAAACACTGTATCACTTGAGCTACAGCGCCACTTCCAGTTTTCCAGTGTTTTACTGGAGATAAGAGTCTCATGGTCTTTTCCGCCTGGGCTAGCTTTGAACTGCAATCCTCAGACCTCAGCCTCCTGAGTAGCTAGGATTACGGGTATGAGCCACTGGCACCTGGCCTAAAGAGACTCTTATCTCCCCCCACCCAAAAAAAGAACACTTAAAAAAAAAGTAGAGCTGTGGCTCAAAGTGATAGAGCACTAGCCTTAAGCAAAAGAGCCCAGGTACAGTGCCTAGGACCCAAGTTCAAGCCCCATGACCAACAAAACAAAAAAACATTCAAATGTGTTAGGTGATACTATAAAATCACTTACGTCTCGATCTACTGTAGTTGCAAAGCCAATGGCTTCCTTTTGTGTACAGTTCACAGCTTTCTGAAGAGTATAAATAACTTGTTCATAGGTGTGAACTTCATCATTAAACAACATGCAATAGTAGGTGTCACTCTGCTCTCTGTGGGACAAAACATTAAACATGGGTTGCATTATTTATTATCTATTGGATTATCTATGCACTATTTTGTTCCAGGTTGATTTATTTATTAAGAATACACTTGGGGGGAGGGGGAGTGAGATGGGAAGGGATGGGAAGGGGAAACAAAGGAGAAGGCAACAATGCTTGATAAGAAATGTACTCATTATCTTGCCCATGTAATTGTAACTCCTCTGTATGGTATTTTCACAATTAAAAAAAAAAAAAAGAATACACTTCAAATCCCTACTGGCCCCACCAAAATATTTTAAGAATATACTTTGTTCCACAGAACATGCTACCTGTAGTGGGCACCTATCAGTAAATAGGTTGTGTTCTCTATGTCCCACAACATTACAGAAATAGTCTAGTGGAGAAAACAAATATTGAAACAATAACTCTATGTGAACTGGATACAGATCAGGACTTAATGAGTCTGGGAGTTCAGAGAAGTGCTGGAGAAATTATGTAGGACCTAAAGTCAGGACCAGCTGTCAACTGGTTCACAATCAGAGGAAGATGTACAGTAAGAAACTACAGCACTAAATGAATTTTACAATGGAAATCAAAATGGTTAATGTTTAGTTTGTGCCAAGTGCTGATGGCTCATGCCTGCAATCCTAGCTACTTAGAAGGCTGAAATCTGAGGATCACAGTTTGAAGCCTGGGCAGGGAAATCCATCAAACTCTTATCTCCAAATAACCACCAGAAAACTGGAAGTGGAACTGTGGTTCAAAGTAGTATAGCACTAACCTTGAACAAAAAAGCTCAGGGACAGAGTCTAGGCCCTAAGTTTAAACCCCATGATCAAGAATTTATTCAAATCTCATACTTATAATAAAGAATTAATTTTTCAATATAGGATAAATGATAAAAAAAAAGTAAATCTGTTAAGATCTGGGGATATGGCTCAATTGTTGGCATAGTGCTTGCATACTAAGTACAAGGTCTTGATGGTGCATATCTAGTATCACACAAAAGCATAATTATAGAGTTACTTAACAATTTTACCATATAATAAGAAACTGCTTATATATGAAACCAATTATAGTCTTAAAATAGTACAAAATATGTCTACAGCTGGGCACAAATGGCTCACACCTGTAATCCTAACTACTTAGGAGACTAACATCTTAAGGATCCTGGTTTGAAGCCAGCCCAAGCAGCAAAATGTGTAAGACTCTTAACTACAAATAACCACCAAAAAGCCCCACATGGAGTGACAAACAATCCAATTAAGAGCAACTTTAACTAATTAAGTGGCTTATACTTACTTAAAAACTGTAATATCAAAGTTATTGTTCTGCTAAAAACCATTAACAAATGTGCAATTTCTAGCTTTTTGAAAGTTAAAAGTTAAGAGGTGTTCCATACACCTAAAGAATACATTATCTATACTTACACCATCTCTAAATCTGCAGGCAATTCATTTTCTTTTTCCCAGGTTAATATGTCTACTGCATATCGAAACACAATAGCAAAGATGTTGTAAGTTCTTGCTATCACATCTTCTGATAAGTGCACAAGAGGATCCTAAACGATAGAAAAACAAGAATGAAATCTTGTTAAATACATAATAATTTTTAAATTTCTCATTCTACCCAGTCCTCTGAAAGCACTTTTCAATTTTCAATTTAATCCACTATTCAACACCTTCTGAATGAAACTTACTAAAATACTTTGTTCAGAAAAACTTCAATTTTTTTTTTTGGGGGGGGAGAATTCTAGGCCTTGAATTCTAGGCCTGAGTGCTGTCCCTGAACTCTTCAGCTCAAGGCTAGCACACTACCACTTGAGCCACAGTACCACTTCTGGCCTTTTCTGTTTATGTGGTGCTAAGGAATTGAACCCAGGGCCTCATGCATGCAAGGCAAGCACTCTACTGCTAAGCCACCTTCTCAGCCCAAAACTTCAATTTTGAATCAACTGAATTAAAATATTCAATGGTACCCAAACATCTAATGAATAAATTAAACAATTTTAGAATAGTATTTCATGATCTATAAAATCTATCACCAAACTATCTTTCTAGCTTTATATTCTAATCCCGCATCTGTAGGTTAAACAAACAAAAAATATTTCCCAGGGGCTGGGAAGGTGGCTCAGTGGTAGAGCGCTTGCCTTGCATGTATGAGGCCCTGGGTTCGATTCCTCGGCACCACATAAGAAAAAAGAAAAAAGCCGGAAGTGGCGCTGTGGCTCAAGTGGTAGAGTGCTAGCCTTGAGCTGAAGAGCTGAGGGACAGCGCCCAAGCCCAGAGTTCAGGCCCCACGACCGGACCCCCCCCCAAAAAAAAAGCTCATGGACAGCACATTGTCAGGCCCTGAGTTCAAGACATAGGACTAGTGCAAAAAAAAAGTAATAATAATAACTCAAACTACACCGAAACAAAATTGAAAACTACAACTCAAAAATATAACCTCACCAAATAATCATTTCTTACGATTACATCCCATAATTCAAAGCATCCAGAGACTAAAGAACTAAAAGATTTATAGAAACTTAATGGTCTGGACAAAAAGAAGTAACTACAATTCTTGAGAATTCTAAACTACAGGGTCAAAACTACACAATCCCTTGGCCTGGCAGATATGTTTCCTTTCTACTGAATATTCTAGATGTAATTAATTAAAATAGAAAAGTTCATCCTAATACCAGGTGTGGTGGTGTATATAATTCTTGCACTCACAAGGATCCTGAGTTTAAGGTCAGCCTGATACCAAGACCTTATCTCTAAAGAATAATAAAAACAAATACAGCATACTGGACAATCACAAACTAGTCATTTTATTTATTTATTTAGCTGGTCTTGGGGCTCAAACTCAGGGCCTGAGCACTGTCCCTGAGCCATTTTGTATTCAAAAACCAGCTCTCTACCCTTGAGCTAAAACACTACTTCCAGTTTTTTCTGAGTAGTTTATTACTTTCCTGCCTGGGCTGGCTTTGAAACACAATCCTCAAATCTCAGTCAACAGAGTAGCTAGATTACAAGTGTGAGCCACTGGTACCTGGCAAACTGGTCATTTTTGCAGCTACAGCAGTGCTACTAGAGCATTATAGCATAGAATAGTGTGTGTGCATGTGTTGGGGCTTGGCTAGGGCCTCAGGCATGCTAATCATACACTTAACCACTGAGTCATAACCTCAAGCCCTACCTAAACATATTAACTTTTTGAAAAATCCGTAACTTAAGATTATAAAGAATTATTCCTGCAGTGAAGAGATGGGAGGTTTGAACAAAATCTACTCATTTATTATAGTAAATGTAATGTTAGGAAAATCTAAGGCACTTATGTTCTAAGAGAACACAAGTAGGTTGGGAAAAATGAAAGTATGTTTGCTATCTCTCTTTTTTTGGGGGGTCTGGTCGTGGGGCTTGAACTCTGGGCCTGGACGCTGTCCTGAGCTCAGCTCTTCAGCTCAAGGCTAGCGCTCTACCACTTGAGCCACAGCGCCACTTCCAGCTTTTTTCTTTTTGCTTATGTGGTGCTGAAGAATCGAACCCAGGGCCTCAGGCATGCAAGGCAAGCGCTCTACCACTGAGCCAACTTTCCAGCCCTGTTTGCTATCTCTTAATACTTTTTTTTTTTTTTTTTTTTTTTTGTGGGGCCTGAGCTCTGGGCCTGGGTGCTGTCTCTGAGTTCTTCATTTCAAGGCTAGTGCTCTACCACCTGAGCCACACCACCATTTCTGGCTTTTTCTGCTTATTCAGTGCTGAGGAATTGAACCCAGGGCCTCATGTAAGCAAGACAAGCACTCTACCACTGAGCCACTTTCCCAGCCCCTCTCAATACTTTATAGACTTTTCCTGGAAGGTTTCATGTCTCTTCATGGAACTGTGAAATGGCAGAATTCAGAGGTTTCATAAACTGTCAAGTACCTGGAGGATATACTCTTTCAACAGCTGAGATCTGAGGACTGAGGTTCAAAGTCAGCCAAGGCTGACAAATCTGAGACTTATCTCCATTTAACCAACAAAACGAAATAGAGGCACACCTTAAGTGATAGAGTGAGGTCCTGAGTTCAAACCCAAGTGCCAGTTACATACACATACTCTACGAGCGTGCATGCAGGTGTGCGTGTGTGTGCGCACGCACACACACAAAAAAACACAAAAAAAAGGAAACCACATTTCCATCAGGTGTGAGATAACGTTCACTAAACTATCTCTACACTTGGTCCCATCACTAGGAGGCAATGATTAGTATTGGCAACTAATCCTTTAGTTTTATTCATAACATAAATATGCAAACACTAACCTAGTCTACACAATCAGGAAAAACAATCCTTTCAATAATAAATTAGTACTTGAAAAATCCCTCATATGAGGTTAAAACAAAATTAAATCAGACAAAAATGCAATCAGACTTTCTAGAATTTGCAAAGTATACTCGATCACTGTTAGCAGTAGCAACACTGTGTGCTCATCTGTGCCTTAAACATTTAGTACTTCCTTAAGAAACAACTTTGTGTAAACCTTCTTACCTCTTCTTCCTCAATTTCAGAAGTATGTGTTTCATGCTTTTGACAAAAAGAGCCCTCCTTCCAAGCTTCCGTATCACCACAGTCACAGAAGCCTCCACCTCCTGATGTTGTCATCTTGAAAAAAAATTATAAAGGAACTTATCAATAACCATTTACTGAAGGCTATCAGATAGTAAATAATAAGAGTATCAGGCCCAAGGAAATAATGCTCCTTACATATTTCATTTCTCTGGAGGGAAAAAATTAAAATGTCAAACCTCACAGTGTTTTAAAGTTTATTTAACATAAGTCTGTTGGCTGATTATAATGTTTATTTTGAAATGTAAGTAATTTCAAAATGAGTAAGTTTGAAGTGTTGAATAAACTACAGCTATTTTAAAAATGCCATGTTTCCTGAATTAGGAAAGATCATGAGGGCCACAGGGTTTTCCTGGTGGGTTTTGCTAAATTGATATAATGTTGCTGTGTATGTTACCAGGTAGTGATATTATAATAGAAAATAACTGATTCAAAGAAATGCTTTTTTCTTCTTATCAAACTCTAAAAATCTACTCTTTGTAAGAATAACAGGGGCTCAAGAAATATAAAAGTGGATGGGGCTAGGAAGATGGCTCAGTGGTAGAGCACTTGCCTTGCATGCCTGAGGCCCTGGGTTCGATTCCTCAGCACCACATAAGCAAAATGAAAAAAGCCGGAAGTGGTGCTGTGGCTCAAGTGGTAGAGCTCTAGCCTTGAGCTGAAGAGCTGAGGGACAGTGCCTAGGCCCAGAGTTCAGGCCCCACAACCGGACCCAAAAAAAAAAAAAAAAAAACAAGAAATATAAAAGTGGAAGGCCTGCTCATTAAAACTCTTCACATCTGGGTGTTGGTGGCTCACACCTGTAATCCTAGCTACTCAGGAGGCTGAGGATCACTGTTCGAAACCAGCCTTGATAAGAAACTCCATGCGATTCTTATCTCTAACCACCAAAAAACCAGAAGTGGAGCTGTAACTCAAAGTGGTAGAGTGCTAGCCTTGAGCAGAAAAGCTCAAAGACGATGCACAGGCCCTGAGTTCAAGGCCAACAACCAACAAAAACAACAACAAAAAAAACCCTCTTCACCTTCTCTGCCTAACAGAATCATGTACATTTCTGTAAGATATAGCAGTGATTCAAGGACACCAGGTATAGCCGGGCGCTGGTGACTCACGCCTGTAATCCTAGCTACTCAGGAGGCTGAGATCTGAGGATCGCGGTTCAAAGCCAGCCCGGGCAGGAAAGACCGTGAGACTCCTATCTCTAATAAACCACCAGAAAACCGGAAGTGGCGCTGTAGCTCAAGTGGTAGAGCTCTCGCCTTGAGCTGAAGAGCTGAGGGACAGTGCCCAGGCCCAGAGTTCAAGCCCCACAACCGACAAAAAAAAAAGGACACCAGGTATGAGAGATGGATGTGGGAGTACTACAGTTAGAGGTCAGCCGTAGGAAAAGTTAGTAAGACTCTATCTCCAAAACAAGTTATGTGTAGTGACATATGCCTGCAATCCCAGTTACAAAGGTAGGAGAATTATAGTTGAGGCAAAAAGTATGAGATCCTTTCTAAAATATAAAAGTAAAAAGAGCTAGGTACAGGTACAGTTCAAGTTTCAGAATGTTTGCTAAGCAAGTACAAAGGCCCGACTTCAAATCTCAGCACCTATTAAAAAAAAATTGGCAAGACAGAACCTGTTAGTTAATAATTAGTGGGATAAACATTCTTTTTTTCTTTGTGTGTGTGCTAGTACTATGGCTTGAACTCAGGGTCTCACTCTCTCATTTGGCTTTTTTTGCTCATGGCTAGCACTTGAGCTATATACTCTAATTCCCATGCTGCTTTTCTTAAAGTACCATGAGGAAGAGTTTAATTATGGGAATAAGATACAGCAATTTTTAGAAAAAGTCTTACTATATTCTACCAAAAAATATTTTCATGCACTTTGTATCACAGTGTATTAATATGATCCTATAAATTTTGATTATTCCCAAGGGTTGCAGGTATATGCCAAGAAAGATGGGTAAGCAGCCATCTGGAAAATGACAATGCCACCCTAGGGCTTATGTGCTTGTTCTAGTTACCAAGCAATAGGTAAAGCAGTTTAAAAGAAACTGAGAATCTCTTAGTATTTTATGAGAATAAAGAGACATATGAGAATATAAGAGGCTCAACTGTTTTATTTCATTATCATCAGTATTTGGGTAGGATGGATAAAAAACAAATGGGAGGGGCTGGGAAGATGGCTCAGTGGTAGAGTGCTTGCCTTGTATGCATGAGACCCTGGGTTCGATTCCTTAGCACCACATAAGCAGAAAAAGCCAGAAGTGGCACTGTGGCTCAAGTGGTAGAGTGCTAGCCTTGAGCTAAAGAGCTGAAGAACTGCACCCAGGCCCAGAGTTCAGGCTCCCAACTAACAAAAAAAAAAGGGGGAGGGGGCTGATCCAGCAGGACTCGTGAATTATAAGCAACATAGGAAAAATCCTCCTCTATCATTTTATGATCACTGTAGAGAGTTCCAACAAATAATTGTTCCCTAACTTCTGAAACTTCGTGTTCTATCTTCAAGTTCCAGTAGCAGAAACAGGACAGCTTTAATCTGTTTTATATGCCGATCTGTTTCATATGCTGGATCTGGGCCCCCTCTTAATTGTATTGCATGCCTCTGTCATGGTACTGAGAATGGAACCTAAGGCCTTGTGATTGCGAGGGCAGCATCCATCCACTGTGCTACATTTTGCAAAGAACATATTTCTTCTACAATCATTCTCCCTCTATTTTTTGTTCAATCCTTGGGTTTTAAAAAGAAAGAAGACTCTAGTATAAAATTCAATAATAGCTGTTATTTGGATGTTACTAACCCTGTATCGATGATCTCTGTGAATGCTTCCCAAAAAGCACTCCATGCATAAAACACAAGTTGGATCAACTGCACAATCTCTGTAAAGTTAAAGAAAAAAAATCAGAGTGTTGTAAGATAATATTATTTCACAACAGAATATTTCAGTTTAGAACACATCAGTTTAGAACCCATCCTAGAAGTGCTAGAATAGAGGTATTATTTAAAAAGAAATAAAAGGACAGTGCTGGAACAATTGGGCTTCAGCTTCCTTATCTGTAAATTATGAAGTTCAATTAGATCTACTATAGCTCTAAACATCAGTAATACACACAAAGGGATTCTAGCAATAGCATACAAAAGCAGCCTAGATCTAAGTGTTTCACCATGCTAAATAAAAAATAAAAAGTAAAAGACTACCAGAAATACCCAGAGGCTTTAACCAAATTATCTTACTTTAAATTTTACATTAAAAAATGTTCTTTGGGGGCTGGGAAGGTGGCTCAGTGTAGAGTGTTTGCCTCACATGCATGAAGCCCTGGGTTAGATTCCTCAGCACCACATAAGCAGAAAAAGCCGGAAGTGGCGCTGTGGCTCTAGTGGTAGAGCGCTAGCCCTGAGCTGAAGAGCTGAGGGACAGTGCCCAGGTCCCATGACCAGCAAAAAAATAAAAAAAAAAATGTTCTTTTGTTTTAGTGCCAGTACTGGAGCTGGAACTCAATGCCTGGGTGCTTTCCCTTAACTGTTTTGCTCAAGCCTGGTACTCTGCCACTTGAGCCACATATAGGTCTACTTTCAGATTTTTGCTGGTTAATTGGATTACAGGTATGAGCCACCGTAACTATACACCATAATTAATGCAGCTGGGTGCCAACAGTTCATGCCTGTAACCTTAGCTACTCAGGAAGCTGAGATCTGAGGATTGTGGTTCACAGCCAATCTTGACAGGAAAGTCTGTTAAACTCTAAATAAAGGCAGAAGCAAGATGTGGCTCAAGTGGTAGAGTGCTAGCCTTGAGCAGAAAACCTTAGGGACAGTTCCCAGGCTTTGAGTTGAAGCACCAGGACAAGCATAAACAAATAATTCCTCTTACCAATAGTAGAATCACACAATGGGATATTAGCTAGCTAAACTGAAAGGAAAGATGACAAACTCTTGCTAGAGAAAAAGAAAATGTACTTCAGTATATGTAATATATTCCCCTTTGTATGTATGCATGTTTAAGGTATACACACACACACACACACACAGAAAACCTCTGAAAGTGCTAATGATGATTAGTTCTGGGAAATAAGAATGGAGAGCCAAAAAGGGGACATGGCACTTAACAAATCTCCTCTCTTCTATATGCAATTATCACCTAAGAAGATTTTTTTTTTTAAACAAAGTTAAGTCTTCCTAGTAGTAATAAGTACAGGTAGCATCCAGACCTTAATTCTAATTATCATTCCCAATGAAGAGAAAACTCCTTAGAGAAATGATGACTGTACATGTGGGTTGAACAAGTACAATTACAAAGATAGCTGTGGATATCTGCATTATACCAGCAAGGGAAGAAGTATCCAAAGCTAATGAAAAGCACTAAGAAGCTAGTATGACAGACCCCTACTAGCTAAATGTGGGCCATTTGATCAAAAGCATCATTGTAACTGAAGAACATTAAGGATGGCAAGGAGGTGAGCACTGTGAACTCAAGCTGGCAGCTCATTATGGGAGAGGAAGAAAGCATACAACAGGCTCTGGAATGCTGATGACAAACCAATTCTTCATCTAGAAAATCATTCCACAAATGTTCACTTAACAATTATTTGTGAGGTTGGGAAGGTGGCTCAGTGGTAAAGTGCTTGCTTCCCTTTCATGAGGCCCTGGGTTCGATTCTTCAGCATCACATAAAGAGAAAAAGCTGGAAGTGGCAATGTGGATCAAGAGGGAGAGCGCCAGCCTTGAGCTGAAGAGCTCAGAGTTCAAGCCCCACAACCAACCAAAAAGAAAAACAACTAAAAAAAAAACCACATTTAGGGGCTGGGAAAGTGGTTCAGTGGTAGAGCGCTTGCCTTGCATGTATGAGGCCCTGGGTTCGATTCCTCAGCACCATATAAGAAAAAAGAAAAAAGCCGGAAGTGGCGCTGTGGCTCAAGTGGTAGAGTGCTAGCCTTGAGCTGAAGAGCTGAGGGACAGCGCCCAAGCCCAGAGTTCAGGCCCCATGACCTGACCCAAAAACAAAAACAAAACAAAAAAAACCCACATTCATTTGTTAAACAGTAGGTATCTTTGGTGAGAACTTATTTAAATGTTGATTTCTATTTCACAAATAAAACAAAGTTTTAAGTTTTCGGGTAAAAACAAAATTAGAGGTCAAGGAAAAAGTCTTTAGAAAATATGATGGCATACCTGCAAGAGTATGTAGGTTCTCCTACTTTAAACACGCGACCACAAAGATGAGAAGGTTTGTTTGCTTGTTCAAATTTTGGAAATGCAAATGCAGGATCTTCACCACAAAGGTACCATTCCATTGGTCCCAACAAAACATGCTGTGCCAGCATATCTTCTTTCTGGGGAAGTGGGTTGGGCCCCCTGCAGTAGATTTTGGGTACATAGTGTGCTAAGTGCTGATAGACTTCTTTAGTGAGGTCACTTGCTTGCAGCCATTTCTTTAAAAAAAAAAAAAGAGAGAGGGAGAGACAGACAGACAGAAAAGATGGTTTTAAGCAATGTCAATAAATTGTTATGTCCAACTTTCTTTTAGGTCTAAGATAAATAGGAAATTTTGTGCCGGGCTCTGGTGGCTCACGCCTGTCATCCTAGCTACTCAGGAAGCTGAGATCTGAGGATCACGGTTCAAAGCCAGCCTGGGCAGGAAATTTTGAGACTCTTAAACCAGAGGTGGCCCTGTGGCTGTAGTGGTAGAGCACTAGCCTTGAGCTGAAGAGCTGAGGCCCAGAGTTCAAGCCCCATGACCGACCGACAAAAAAGAAAGGAAGGAAGGAAGGAAGGAAGGAAGGAACATTGATTTTGTTTACAACATCATTGTATATCAGAAGCTATTCAAATGCCAAATATTTGGTGGTTAAGTATAAAAGTAAAAATTTTCAATTCTACTTTAAAGTGTGGATAAAATTAAAATGTAACAAGCTCTCTGCAAAATGACTCTTGAAGCAATCTTCTAGAACAGTAGGAAAAAATAACCACAAGAGCTGGGTACAGGTAGTGTACACTGGTAATCCTAGCTACTCAAGAGGCTGAGATTTGACGATAGAGGTTCAAAGTCAGCCTGGGCAGGAAATTTTGAGACTCTTTTTTTTTTTTTAATGCTGGTACTGGGACCTGAACTCAGCGCCTGGATGCTGCCCCTGAGCTTTTTTCATTCAAGGCTAGCACTCTACCATTGAGCCATAACTCTACTTTCAAGTCTTTTGGGTGTTTATGGAAGGTACAAGTCTCACAAACTTTCCCTCCTGGGCTGGCTTCAAACTGCACTCCTCAGATCCCAGCCTTTTAAGTAGCTAGGATTACAGGAATGAGCCACCAGTGCCCAAGGTCTGTGAGACTCTTAGCTCCAATTAAACCTGGAAGTGAAGCTATGGCTCAAGTGGCAGAGTGTTAGCTGTGAGCAAAAAGAACTCAAGGACAGTACTCAGACCCTGAGTTTAAGCCCAGTACTGGCATAAAAATAAAAATCAGAAACAACAAAGAAAGCCCAGCATGGTGGCTCACGCTTGTAATCCTTAGCTACTCAGGAGGCTTGAGATCTGAGGATCTTGGTTTGAAACCAGCCAATGCAAAAAAGACCCTTTGAGACTCTTAGCTCCAAATTAATCACTCAAAAAAAACCAGATATGGCACTGTGCCTCAAAGTGCTAGAGCACTTGAGCAAAGGATAGCACCCAGGCCCTAAGTTCAAGTCCCACAAGTGGCTCAAAAAAAAAAAAAAAAAGAGAGAGAGAGAGAGAGAGAAATCCTTATAGCTGGGCCCCAATGGCTCACGCCTATTGTCTTAGCCACACAGGAGTCTGAGAACTGAAATTCAAAGCCAGCAGGGCAGGAAAGTCTGTGAGAGTGACCACAAAAGCCAAAAGTGGAGCTGTGACAAAAGTGGCAGCATCCCAGCCTCTATCGCGAAAGCCAATGACAGCCCCCAGGTCCTGAGTTCATGCTCCATTACCAGCACACACACACATTAAAAACAATCTGTTTTGTTCTGTTTTGTTTTTAGCCAGTCGTGGGGATTGACTCGGCCTGGGCGCTGTCCCTGAGCTTTTTCGCTCAAGGCTAGTACTCTTCCACTCTGAGCCACAGTGCCCGGCCAAAAAAGTTATCTTTATATAGACACTAGCTGTTGAGCTGTAAGCTCATTTGACTTCTCTCTTAATGCTATGGTCAAATGTTACTCTGCTTGTGATAGAGATTCTCATGCAATTTTGCCTATAAAAGTAGAAAGTGAACATTGTTAGCCGATATAGAGGTATTTCTCAGTGACTGTTCATACACACATATACAAACACAGGTGCACACACGAACAAATATGGCCCACAGATCTGTCCTATCAGATATGCCTTGTTTCTCCCCCGACCAAGCCCTTTCACCTTTGCTCTCCCCACTAAAGAGCAAACAAAAAGGTACATTTCTGTTCCCTCAAACTTTGGCATTTAATTACCTGTATACTTAAGATATCTCACAGGCACCAATCAATACACCCAAAGTTCAAATCATGGTTTCCCCTCCCCCACTAAAATCTGTTGTTATTCATCCTATTTCCCTATTTTAGCATCTGTCTAGACATCCAACCAGAAAGCCCTAGAAATCTTCCTTCTTCCTCACCCCATATCCAATCCATCATGTCCTGTTAAGACTTCTAAAAAGAGCTGGGAATGTGGCTTAGTGGTAGAGTGCTTGCCTAGCATGCATGAAGCCCTGGGTTCAATACCTCAGTACCACATACACAGAAAAGGCTGGAAGTGGTGCTGTGGCTCAAGTGGTAGTGCTAACTTTTTTTTTTTTTTTGGGTCCAATCATGGGGCCTGAACTCTGGGCCTGGGCGCTGTCCCTCAGCTCTTCAGCTCAAGGCGAGCGCTCTACCACTTGAGCTACAGCGCCACTTCTGGTTTTCTGGTGGTTCATTGGAGATAGGAGTCTCACGGTCTCTCCTGCCCGGGCTGGCTTTGAACCGCGATCCTCAGATCTCAGCCTCCTGAGTAGCTAGGATTACAGGGGTGAGCCACCAGCGCCCGGCCTAAATAATTCTTGAAGCTATTCATTTCTTTTTTTTTGGTCAGTCATGTGGCTTGAACTCTGGGCTTGGGCACTATCCCTCAGCTCTTCAGCTCAAGGTGAGCGCTCTACCACTTGAGCCACATGCCACTTCTGGTTTTCTAGTGGTTTATTGGAAATAAGAGTCTCACGGACTTTCTTGCCCTGGCTGGCTCTGAACCTCGATCCTCAGATCTCAGCCTCCTGAATAGCTAGGATTACAGGTGTGAGCCACCAGCACCCAGCTGAAGCTATCCATTTCTTTCTCTGAAGCTATAACCTACACTAACCTGGTCCAAATCTCACCCTCATCACTAGTAATCCAATAAAGTCCTAATTGGGATCCCCACTAGTTGCCTCTCTGCAATCTGATTTTGTTGGGTTTTCTTTAGTACTTGGGATTGAACTCAGAATCTCACACCACTTGCTAGGCAAGGCAAGTGCTTGACACACTTGAGCCACGTCCCAGCCTTTTGCTATTGCAAACAGAGTCTCAAATTGGACTAATCAGGGCTGGGAAGGTTGCTCAGTGATAGAGTGCTTGCCTTGCATGCATGAGGCCCTGGGTTAGATTCCTCAACACCACATAAGCAGAAAAAGCTGGAAGTGGTGCTGTGACTCAAGTGGTAGAGCGCTAGCCTTGAGCTGAGTTCAGGCCCACGACTGACAAAATAAATAAATAAATAAATAATCACACTAATCAGGCCTGGACTGAATGGTCCTAGTTATGCTTCCACATGGATGGGATACAAGCAAACACTACTGTGCCTAGACTTTTATTAAGGACATTTTGTGCCTGAGTTGGCCTTAATGTGCAATCCTCCCAAACTCAGCCTCCCCACGAGCTAGTATTATAAGTGTAAGCCACCTCACCCTGCTCTGCACTTTGTTTTCTAACCTCACCAGGATAATTTTTGTAAAAGACTAAGTGGATTATGTCAGTTTTCCACTGCACTTAAGCATGTCAAGTCTACTGCCATGGCTTACAAAGTCCTCAGTCTTCATCCTATATTCAGTCTTCACCTGCCCTGTCTGACAATTCTCTCTGCTTTGCAAAGCTATTTTCTAATTATTTATCAGCTCTCAATTTGTTTCATTTCCTACAAAATGTTTTCTCAGCCCTCCGCATTCCCCTAGCTTTAAAACTAGGCTTCAGTAAGCATTTGGTAAAACTGGTAAGTGAATGACTATTGTCACATAATACTGACTTCCCAGAAAGCTCTTCCATATGGCTTACATGAGAGCAGAAAAAAGGAAACCCAGGCCTGCAGCATGGATCTCATATCAGTCTCTAAAAACTAACCATATCGGAAGGTAAGTCAGCCTTCATGCCATTTCCTTAAGTCTTTTCCTTTCACTCTGCCATATATCCCTAACTCCTCTGCCACCAGTGCCTAGGTTTTATTTTTCTATATGTTTTGTGTAACAAGTTATCCTGCCTCTCAGCAGAGGAAAAAATCTGAAATCAGAAAATGTAAGATAAAGCATGGTGCCGGTGGCTCAGGCCTGTAATCCTAGCTACTCAGGAGGCTAAGATCTGAGGATCATGGTTCAAAGCCAGCCTGAGCAGGAAAGTCCATGAGACTCTTATTGCCAATTAACCAGCAGAAAACTGGAAGTGACACTGTGGCTCAAGTAGTAGAGCGCTTGCCTTGAGCTGAAGAGCTCAGGCTCAGAGTTCAAGGCCTACAACCAAAAAGGAAGGAAGGAAGGAAATGCAAAATAAATGACCTACTTCTGAAATGAAGTTAACTGAACTACAACACAACTCATACATCTATTGTTTATTTATGGGTTATCTAAAGTCCAATCACATCCTTGTTTTAAAGAAAACCTGTGTTCAAGTGATGTCAAGACCAGAGGTCAAAGTCAGTAGTTCTTCATCCTGTTACTACAATCTTCAGCTGACGGACTTCCTTCTAAAACTAACATGAAGATCTAAATTTAAATATTCATGAAGTGGCATAAACTTCCTGTACAATTCCATATTTGAGAAGAACTCTCTACACAGCTAAAATTTTTATTTAAGTTCAGGGACTGAATAGAAGCTTGTAAATGAGAACAGTACACTTTTTCACTTGAGGTGAAACTATCTTCTACATATTACTAACTTCTGTGGTTTAAGTAGAAAGCTAGAAAATGCTGCTTAAAACTGCAGCATTTCAGCTGGGTTTGGGTAGCTCATGCCTGTAATCCTAGCTACTCAGGAGGCTGAGATCGAGAATCACGGTTCAAAGCCAGCCCTGGCAGGAAAGTCTGTGAGTCTCTTATCTCCAATTAACCACCAGAAAACCAGAAGTGGCATTGTGGCTCAAGTGGTAGAACACTAGCCTTGAGCTGAAGTGCTCAGGGTCAAGTCCAGATTTCAAGCCCCACTATCAACAAAGCAACAACAACAACAACA